AAAGTGGACTTAAAGGACAACCTTGACGGCATGAACATGAGATGGGAAATCTATTGGAGGTATTGTTTGCTGTGACAACTACAGCTGAAGGGTTATTATAAAGAACTTGTATCAATTTAATGAAAACCCCTCCCAGTTGAAAGCGGTCCAAAACTATCCATAGATAATCCCATTCAAGCCGATCAAAGGCTTTTTCTGCGTCTAAAGATAAAATGGCACAGGGTGAAGTCGTACCTACAGATGCATATATGGCATGCAATAAGCAACGTATATATTATTAGAGGCAAAACATGTCTTAATGAAACCTATTTGGTCATGATGGACTAATTTAGTCATATATGATTCTATGCGATTGGCCAAGACGGGAGCATATATTTTAATTTCTGAGTTCAAGATTGACAAAGGTCTATAATTACTACACAGGGTGTGGTCTTTGTTGGGTTTAGGAATAACAGATATTATTGCTGAATTTTAAAGACAGAGACACATCCCAGGATGCTTAAATTCCTTCTTTTTTTCCTTTCCGTTTTGTTTGTTGTTTGGACTATAAAGCATACTTCCACTTTATATGGGCTATGAGCAGAGGCAAATGATGCCAAGCCAACTTTCTCAAGTGAGGTGTCTTATGTTAAATAGGGGGAGGGGGGAGGGGTTCTACTCCTTAGTGGGACTCACAGGGATGAAGGTGTGGGTGGGTTAAATTTTAATTTCGGGTTGTTTTTTTGTTTTGTTTTTTTTATGTGGGCTCATGGCGACCTGAGGGTGGGGGCAAGGTCTCTGAAGTTACTGTATATCTTTCAGATGAAACTGTTTTTCACCTCTGCTAAAATGAAATATTATGACAAGTAACTTCAGTATAAATATTGCAAGTTGGAATACAAATGGCTTAAACAGTCCTGTTAAACGTGCTATATGTCTAGACTATCTCCATAGACACAAACTAGATGTAGCTTTTATACAAGAATCCCATTTAAAGAATTCTGATCTCCATCGTTTCTCTAACACATTCTATTACACAGCTACATCTGCCTCGGTTAACACCAAAACCCGGAGCTCTCTTGTTGTTCTTAAATGGAATTTATCCTTAACAGTACTAGAAAATTATGGCAGCACTGATGGATGTATTTCCTATGTAAAAAACATCATTTCTGGGTGGAAATTTGTCTTTATATCCATATATACACCTTATCAATTCGACCTTGTTTTCTGTAATGATGTCACTGAACTCCTATCTAGTTTGCAAGAATTTGCAATTATTATCGGCGCAAATATGAATGCTACTCTAAACCCTATACTTGACAGTTCTTGTCCTTGAGACCAGCACTCTCAGAAACTTGCCACTGAAGCTTTTCAGGGCCTCTTATCTGATTTCAGTTTAACAGATTTGTATCGTTCTTTACATCCTACCTCTAGAGAATATAGCTTCTACTCTGACAGACACAAAACCTACTCCAGAATAGAGTATTTGCTAGTCACTACCCCAGCCATTTCACAGCTTCATCAGATAGACATTATTTCTAACCCATTGTCAGATCATGCTATTGTCTTTGCCAAAATAACTCTCATTGACACTCCAATTAAAGCCACCACGTGGCGTTTCATCATAATATTACTTAGGAATGACGATTTTTGTGATTATTTCAAGAAGCAACTTAATACATTTTTGTCTGAGAATGCTGGAACTGTAAATGACCCACGCATGTTGTGCTATGCTGTCAAAGGTTGTATTCGAAATACATCAATCTCCTTTTCATCCTATTTAAATAAGGTCAGACTGAGGAAAACAAATGAATACGAATCACTGTTAAACAATCTGGAGCAAGAACAACAAAGAGTGGGCTGGGGAAAAAAAAGAATCCTCAAATGCTCATATGAATCGGCTGAATCTGAATCAACTGACGTAATTCTGAGTTGTTTACAGCCATACTTTTTAGTCTAACGAAGCTAACCAAGTTCCAGGTTTCACAGATCCCCAATGATAATAATTTTAATTATTTTTTAATTGAACAATTATTTTTTCGATTAGTCAATTAATCTAATGACTAATTTATCAATTATTCTAAATGTTATTTTTTTTATTACTCAATTAATATAACAATAAAATTTACCCAAAAATATTTATCAAAAACTTGTCTCATTAATACTGAAATATTTTATTTAATCATGTGGGCCAACACATAGATACAGACAACCATTCACGCTCACATTCACCCCTACAGGCAATTTAGAGTATCCAGTTAACCTGTGACACAGAAATTAATTTACTCGCTGTATATCATAGCAAACCTTTCCCCGACCTGGACAATCAGCATTTTTACTGAAGTAGTAGACTTTGAACTAATAATGGTTTTGACATGGAGTGATATGCAATTTAGATCATCACTGGCAAATATATATTTGCATCAGCCTTGGGGTGAGGTAATTAACTTGAACTATTTACAGATTGTAACAGCAGTCACAGACTGTAACTATAGTCTGTAACATTAGTTTAACATGTTTTCTCACTCGTGCACATCCATTAAAGTAAACACAAAAAAATAAAATAGCCGAATAACACCATTAGATGACACATGGTGTAACATTAGCGATGGTGCTGAAAGTTTATGTAACTACTACTAACAGAAACACATTCAGCGTGTTGATAATCCTAATATATCATGCCTAGATGGAGACAAAAATTAAACAGGATGGTGCTGTCTGCTGCTGTCTTAAGGAAGCGCTCCAGGATGCTTTCACTTCAAGTGTGTGTGTATGGCCCTTGCACTCCTGTTAAAGGGCCAGTGTGTAATATTTGGCATGGTTTATTGTAAAAATCTGAATCTGAAGCTGAATATTCTACCCATTAATATGTTTATATAAGTGTATAATCACTATAAAATAAAATTTGTTTGGTTTTCGTAGCCTTATAATTATGCTTATATATATATATATATATAGCAAGGGCCTTGCTTTAGAGAGGTTGCCATCTTGCGCCGCCATGTATGTAAGGCAGCCCGAGCGGACAATCCAGCCAGCCAGAGAACGCTTTTCCTCCCGATGATATATCTCCCCAACGATGGTAGCACCGAATCCCATTCTGTGCAGCAAAATGGGAGCGGAGGATTCAGCCTCTCTTCTTGTCCGCTCAGCATCCAAGTTCCTCATCTGTATGCTCCGGCTCAAACAGGTATGGCTCTGGGTCTGTGTCTGCTACAAGAAACTCTTCAAAATCGCGGTCAAAGTCGTCCATTGCAGCTACTATAGTCCGGAGATGTTGCTAGGCTAAATTAAACAGCTGAGCTCTGTTTACAGGCTACGCTGTCAGTCAGTGTGCGGGCTGGAGATTGGTGGAGCAGAGAGGCGAGGGGGTACCTGCTAGGTTATGTAAACGAGTATGTGTGTATGAACTGTGTGTGTTACGCTAGAAGATTCAGAGTTTGGGACAGAGTCTTTTACACCCTGGAGTGTTACCGGAGTTTTTGGAGTGCTCAAATAAACTGGCTTTTTTCCCGAACAGATTCATTACAATATCGTAACATGGTTTAGATTTCTAAATAAACATTTACCTCGTTGCTAGATAGACCTACTCCTGAAAAACTCGAGTGAGTGAGCCCTGCAATCTAGAATTTGACCACTGATGTCACTGTTTTCAATCAATTTTACACACTAGCCCTTTAAAAGTCATTCCAATTGTGTGGGCCAGATTTTTTTTGGCTGCAATTTGTTCTTCAGAGGAATCCATAACTTTGACTGGGCCAATGTTCCCTCTAATTTTGAAAACTCCTGAGCAGACATTCAACTCCTCTTACCACCTACTTGAGCAACTGTGGGCGACATCTGATGCGTACACACTACGTCAACATGGCCGTGCCATGGCATCACCTCTCCAACCCCAAATATCATTACAAGTGGATATTACTATAAAGATTAATAATAAGATTATTTGCACAACATGAACTACTGCATATGGCAAAACAGATTTTGAATTTACTGCCATAATGTGAACAATTAAAAGAAAAATATGCTCCATAAAAGACAATACACAAACATTTAGAATAATGAAGAATAGAAGAATAATGGCAACACAAAGAGCAAACAACTCTTTGGAATACAAAATAAGTAACACTCTCTAATAGTAATTGCCAACTACTTTAGGCCTCTAAACTGCAACAAATATAATATGCAAGATCAAAAACTAAATGTAAACTTAAAATTGTAATTGTACTACTACAGACAGTGCCAATGTACTGGATGAAAAAAAAAATTCCTGGCAAAAAAAAATACTAGTGGCCAGGCAGTGCAAAGAGTGCATGTAAACATACACTGTAAACAAAAATTGTAGCAGCACTGCTACTACTACAGACAGTGCTGTACTGGATGAAGTTTTCCTTTGCTAAAATTTTAACTTGTGTACTTCCTGTATTCAGTGTTTCACCTACCATTATATTAGGGGGGCGCCCCCGCCCTCCCTTGAAGGTCAAGTTAATTTTATTTAATTCCATTTTCTATATAGCACCAGATCACAACAGAAGTCATTTAAGGTTACCTTTCCCATAGAATAGGTCTATACCTTGTCCTTTTATTAAACAAACTGAATAGCCTTATGTAATTTATCTTATTTACAAGAGGACATGTCATTTCTGTCAATACTTGGTTGCGTGTTTACAGTTCTCCTATGCTCTATGTACTGCATACAACGAAGTTTTTTAAACGCCCCCAGTGTGGTGAAGATGATGAAGAAGAAATGTTCTGATGTTTAGTTCAATGTACTGTCCAAATAACTGTTCAGTTGTTATATTGACTGCTGTCAATAAAGAAAACATGAACACCATGATTCCTTTAAGTGTTTGTGTCTGACACACCCCCGTCCCCCCACCTCATCAGAGCAGTCAACAGAAAAGCTCTTAAGAAAGAGAGGATGAAAGGTTTTTTTTTTCTTTTGAATCTCAAACAGCGCCTCTCATTTGGTGTTGGACCATCAGTGGGTGTGTGTGTGTGTGTGTGTGTGTGTGTGTGCCCACCTGTATGACAGCACTGAACCAGCAGGTATTGCCAACATTTTTCAGCCCTACAGGGCAGCTGTCTACCCTCTTCCTGTCATGTGGGTTGGGTGAATCGCTCCATACTTCTGTGTGGGTCCGCTTCAGACTCGCTTTGTTCTCTGCTATGCTGGCCTCCAAAACTCTATAAGAAAAAACAGGAGAAAACACAAACAAATTCAATTAAAGGCAAGGTGTTTCCCTTACCAAATATTCTCTGCATTGCCTGACCTTTCTACCACTACATCTGAAAGGTCAATACAATTCAACTTCAAGATTTTTCAAGTTCATTACAAAGTAGGGGATAGCTCATCACTCACAGGATCCCATTTTGCAGTTTAGTCTGTACTGTATCTCCCAAAAGTTAAGTGTTATTTTTAAACTTTTTTTTCATCTCATTCACACACACACACACACACATATATACATACATACACACACATATATACAGTACAGGCCAAAAGTTTGGACACACCTTCTCATTCAATGCGTTTTCTTTATTTTCATGACTATTTACATTGTAGATTCTCACTGAAGGCATCAAAACTATGAATGAACACATGTGGAGTTATGTACTTAACAAAAAAAGGTGAAATAACTGAAAACATGTTTTATATTCTAGTTTCTTCAAAATAGCCACCCTTTGCTCTGATTACTGCTTTGCACACTCTTGGCATTCTCTCCATGAGCTTCAAGAGGTAGTCACCTGAAATGGTTT